CTATCTATCTATCTATCTATCTATCTATCTATCTATCTATCTATCTATCTATCTATCTATCTATCTATCTATCTTGGATTTAGCCAAATCAGGAGTCCCATTGAATTGGTTCTGTGGCCCTGAAAGTTGAAACTGTATTTTTACTAAGTGAGTTAAACAAAATCATAATGAGTTGTAATAAGCCATTTGGTATTTTTGAGCACTGCAGAAGCCAGCCAATATGTCTGCAAAAATATTACCTCTACATTTTCTCCAGGATGGAATAAAGATTAGAGTTGAAAACTAATCACAATTTTACCTCCTAATCATAGAGAAGGGATCACTGGGGCTGTTTATCACACTGCTGAGAAATGTTGAGGCCTTTCCTGCAAATGACCCTTAATTCTGTCCAAAATTAAATATTTCAGTGACATTAAAGCAGAATTGAAAAAATATTAACTCTAAAAGCTCTCAGTTTCAACTTTTGTGTGTTTATTACGCTGTTATGCCACCCAGGAGAGCCACTTTGATATAGTGGCTAAGGCGTTGGGCTAGAAACCAGTAGACCATGAGTTCTAGTCCTGTCTTAGACACAAAGCCAGCTGGGTGACCTTGGGCCAGTCACTCTTTCTCAGCCTTAGGAAGGAGGCAATGGCTACTTCTGAAATCTTGCCAAGAAAACTGCAAGGACTTGTCCAGGTACTCACCAGGAGTCACTGATTCAAAGGCACCAAAAAAGACACCTTCCCCCCCCCCGAGTCATTGTCCATTGAATGAGATTAGCAAATATGATTATATAAACATATTTTTATACAGTATTTCTTGAACAGACCCTTGTGGCTATTAGTGAAAATTGATATCTATTTCTTTGATATTGGAGAGGTTTCCTGAAAATTTTATTCTATTATGTTAACAAAAATTAAAGCTGTTCTTACGTTCAATGAAAAAATGTAAGTTCAGATATATTTGCTGATCAGATCTAGGTTGAATAGACAACCTCTGACTATATCAGAGTCAAATCAAACCATATTAGACTTAATTTGAATCTTGCAGTTGGTGCAGATCCATGCTAATAATTTTCTTCTAATTTTCTATCCCTGTTTAGTTAATAGATGAGTATTCGGTTACCCCAAGCAATTTTTGCAGTCTCTGGAAATCCATCTAAATTGCACTGATGACACTTGGCAGTAAAGTTCTTAATGCAGCCTTTAGCTGTAAAAAGCTGCTTCATCTCTAGTTTGATTGAATAAAGAATACAGTGTGTATCTGTAGAATTGCTTACTTATCATCCTATAAGTTGGTAGCTGGATAATTTTGTTACAAGACTGGACAATGTTCTTCTGTCCCAACTTTCACATTATAACAGTAGATATGACTGTGATTAAACCTTCTTCATATTAGTCTTAATTCCTAAGACTGAATTACTTTAAATCCATATTTCACTGAAGATGCAAATTAACATCATTGTGTGAAACATTCCCTTAATTCATAATACCCCTTTCTTAAATGAGAGGGCGGAATAAAATCAGTGAAGTAAGATAGTTGCTTTTCCTATTTTTTAAATGTACACATTAATTTTGTGTGTTTTACAGAACTATGTCCGTGTTGTGGAGGTCTGGTGGGATGAATTCAAAGATTATTTCTATGCTAGTCGTCCAGAAACAAAAGCATTAGCTTACGGTGATATATCTGACCTGAAGAAATTTCGTGAAGATCACAAATGCAAAAGCTTTAAATGGTTTATGGAAGAAATAGCTTATGATATAACTTCTCATTATCCTCTGCCACCTAGAAACGTGGAGTGGGGAGAGGTAATTCTTCTTTGATCTAAATTAAAATTTTATACTGTCCTGGGCAGTACTTAGACTTGTCCATCTAAGAATATATACTAGATTAGGAGAATATGGGAATCTTGTAAGAAATAGGTGTCTTCTTATATGCAGAAAATGAATTACAGTATTTAAGCTGTTGGAACCATATTAAGTTCTAAGATTCTCAGGCCTTCTGAACAAAACTGCAGGTCTGTCAGAAGAATAGTGCTGATTTTCCAGGTAGGATTGCAAACCAACTAGTAATACATATACTATATCCTTGTATGAACTCAAACTTAAAACTTCAGATCTTTTCTCCGCCGTTGCAAAAAAGCCAACAGGAGTTAAAATATGTATTGCCTTTATGAAATTGAATTTAGATGCCAGAGAGGAAGATATGTAAAGAAGCTGTTTATTCGTAATGATGTCCATTGAAGAGATTGATAAGGATTGAGGCATACAGAGCAAAATATGATTTCTTAAGAAAATAAGGAGGAAAAAACAAGATAAAAATTCAGAAGATTTTAAAATAAAGCTGGCTGTTACTGCCAAGCCCATTTTGCCATTCACTAATCCAAATAATTGGCTAGTGACATTTGCCAAGAATAGAGAATTAAATAGAAGTAATAGCCACTGAAAATGATTCAGGGGAATTACATTTTTTGCTGTATGTAAATACTATTATATCACACATCGTTAAAGGTTTGCCTGGAGACTACTTATTTGAAATAAACTCCTTGCTCTTTGCCTGAGAACAGAAATACTGTTCTGTGATCAGTATTTATTACAACATACTGATCACAGAACTCTCCTTTGGAAAAAGCACAAGGGACGTTCTATCCGTAACAATTAGAATGCATGTATAAAAAACCACCAACAGTTGAAAAGCATGGCAGTAGAAATGTTGCACAAGACAGAATTCTCATGCAACAAATATTTTCTATAATACCTTGGGTATGAACGTGTAAAATATATTTCACTAGACTTCATTTATTACTGTGTTTGCTGCTGTGAGATAATCTTTAATATATAATACAGTCTTGTGGCAATGGTAGAGAGTATTATGACAGTTTCATTTATTTATTTCATTTACTGGGAAAGTGTGCTTTAGACGATCAGTGGAGTTTATAAAGGGAGGGTTCTATTTGCTGATACTTGAGGTGAAGACAAGACAGAATGTAGGCACAAATTATCTTTCTTGTCTTTCACTTCAGTGCTCCAGTGATAAACCTAGGTGTAGGTGAACTACAGTTCAGCAGCTTCTTCTACTATGGCCAGCAAAGAAGAAAGTTATGGTTGTAGTTGACCCCTTATCTTGAGATCCTTAGGTTGCATTAATTATAAGGAGAATTACAGAGTTTGCTTTGAATCTTTTGTTGATCTTTGATGTGCTGTTTACCTATATATATGCACCTATTATATTGATTTGCTGTTGATTTGCTGTGGATTACAGATAACTTTTTTCCATATTATTTCTATTTCTTCCTAATTTTTTATATTGAAACATTTAACAATAGTACAAATCATAAATATGTTTCAGATTAGAGGTTTCGAAACCGCATACTGCATAGACAGTATGGGCCATACCAATGGGGGCTTTGTGGAACTTGGTCCATGCCATAGAATGGGAGGAAATCAAGTAAGTAGAGTTGGATCATGTTTTGAATTGTGAGGAAAGCCCAAACTTCAAATATTTTCTTAAGATTTTTAGATTGCTGTGTGGTAAAATAAAGCTCAGGGGCTGCTCTCTCCCCCCAATCCAAGAGACCTTTTGTGATATAAGCATTATATAAATATTGAAATGGGTTATTACAGCTATATATGCCTTGCCCCAATAATACTATGCTGTATTATGCTCTGTTTTATTGTTGGTTTATTTGAAATTCTGTTTTTTTTTAAATAAAACTGCTTTGAGTGTAATGTGTACAGGAAAACAATTTATAGGTAAAGGAATTATGGCTATTGTAATTTTGCTTCAGTTTACATGATTCTGACAAATAAACTAAAGCAGCCAAAGTGCATAGATTTTAAGTTGCTATCTTAAGTTTCATGCCACGTAAGCAGGAATAATATTCTCCACTCTATGTTTGTGTCCACTTAAGTCTTAACGGTTTAGCTTCTATGCATCCCCCCCCCTTATTTTAGTCTTTCAAACCATTTTTTTTCCTGCAAGTTTCTGAATACAGCTGCAGGAAATTATTTTGGCTGTTTATTTGAATGGTACTATATTCAGAAGAATGCAAAGGTTTTCTGAATATTAATAAAATGGTGATTCATAAAATAACCCTACTTTCAATATATTTTCAACCCTAAGTTGTTACAACTGTGTATATCAAATTATAGACTGTAGGTATTACAACTGCTGCTTGTTTAATTCATTCTTAATATATTTGATATGTGGGGTATAGAGGTTAAGGTATTTAACTGGCAATGGATAAATACATTCAAGTCCATCCTCAAACATAATATTTAGCATTTCCAAAATTTTATCTTAATTCAGTATTAAGGATTTATTTTTGCCAATACATATTTAAGAATGCCTCTTTAATTATATTATGGTTCATAAAATAAAAGACAAAATAGGCTGATTTCAGTCTTATTTCTATGCAACAATATGTTTATATGTTAGCATTTTTCAGTTACTAGAACAAAGTATATGTTGTTTTTAATATTCATTTTTAGCTGTTCAGAATTAATGAAGCTAACCAACTCATGCAGTATGACCAGTGCTTGACTAAAGGACCTGATGGATCGAAAGTTATGATTACGCATTGCAATCTAAATGAATACAAGGAGTGGCAGTACTTCAAGGTATCTGATCGGTGCTCAGAGTCCCACTGGGATAATAGTGATTAATTCCGTTTATGAATTCTAGACAGATTTAAACCATAGCATATAGAAGATTGAGCTAGACATGAAATATTCTGATAAATGGGTTCTTCCTTGTAACTGCCTCTGCCCATCATGGAAGTTATTACCATATAGGAACAAGATTTAATGATTTCATCTACAACATAGTATAGTCCTAATGCATATGTAGGTATGTGTTATTTTGTGACCTGAAAGGCAAGGGGGAAGGGTAAAGAAGACGTTGCAGGCACACCAGTAGTATGGTACCTGTAGGTCGTTCATCAGATCAAGTGTCTCTGTTGCCAGTTGCGGTCGTGGCTCTTGGAATTGTATTCCTGAATTAAAACTGGGTGTTTCTGATAAGAAAACTTGCTTTCATTTTCCTGGTTATTTATTTATAAGATTTGTCTGCCACCTGAAATCTTACTGGATTCTAAGTGATTATTGAGCTTCCATTATACAGTACAATGCAAAATCACTACAATAATTAAGTAACAATGCAATTGCCAATTCAACAGTAAAAGTAATAAACTAACATTCATTAGATGGAATATGGCACCACTGGTTGCATTTAATCCCAAAGGGATTGGAACGCCTTGAGGGTGGGGATGATCCTCACTTCCAGGGCAAGCTGTTACAGAGGAGGGGAGCTGTGACAGAGGATGCTCACTGTTTTTGCTGTATGTACTGGTAGGTGGGGAGTTTTAGTAGGGGCTTCCTAGTTATTTGGGTGGAGAGGGCAAAAACTGTTGGGGAAAGGCAATGCCTAAAATACCCTTGCCTTGAGCCATATAGGGTTATGTAGATAGTAACCAGCACTTTGAATTGCACTTAGAAACCTATTGATAACCGGTGCAGTTCTTGTAGCAGAGATGTAACATAGCAATATCATGATTGACTGCTGAACATTAATACCACTGCATTCTGGTCTAGCTGAAGTGTCTGGGTGGTGTTCAAGGGCAGTTCCACGTACAGCAAGTTACAGTAATCTAATCTAGAGATGATAAGGGCATGAGCGACCCTCTTAAGTACATCCTGTAACAGAAGCTATACAAAAGCCATCCTACATTCTGTACATCATATAATGATGTACATCCTGTACATCATCTACATCACCATTTGGGCCTGCCCTGTGATGGACTGGAATGAAGGAAGGGGAGTGAAAACGGTGCTCTCATCTCCAGAGCAACGCTCTGGAGATAAGCGGAGAAAGCTGGCGCATCCCTAAACATTCCAGAAGATAGTGAATAGCTGTACCTGGGAACTAGTGATCAGTCTGAGAAGATTTCTGTAAACGGGCTTGCTAATAAACCTTGCTGATTGAACCTGCATGGTCTCCAGGAGTTCTTTGGGCTAGGCCTGACATGCCCACACAGATAGGAGAATCACATAACACTGTGCCCCCAATCCCCAACACTGGTAGATGGTTCAGAATAATTTTGTGGTTGACAGTATTGAAGGTTGCTGAGTGATCTAGGAGGACAAGGATGGTTGTGCTGTCTTCATTCAAGCCTCGTCATAAGTCACCCTTGAGAGTGACCAGTGCTGTTTTCATACCATGCCCAGGCCAGAGCTCTTACTACCAAGGCTCTAGATAATCTTTATCTTCCAGAACCCTCTGCAATTTCAGCTCTACCTCTTTCTCAGTAGCTTATCCCAAAAGGGGAGGTTAAACATAGGATGGAAATGGTTTAATTCTGATGGACCAGACCTGGCTTCTTGAGTAGGCAAACTAGTGCTTCTTTAAGGGCCTCTGGCATCTCCTCTCAAAAAGATGTTGACTAAAGCCCAGAACCAGCTCCTAGTCCCTTCCTTCCCTGCAGGAGAGCAGGAGTTCACTCTGCAAGTGGTGAAGCCAAGAACACAGAGGACTTTGTGTTCACTAATCCCACTAGGTTGAGTCAGTATGTCATTGGTGGGCTGAGTTGTGTGAATGAATAAAGTGGGTAGGGTTGCTCTGTTACTGTTACTACTCTGCTTCTCTTGTTATGTGTTATGTACTGTTGTGTGGCTAGGATTGGGAAGAGGAGTGATTATTAATTACTGGCTTGACTGTGACTCACAGGGGCTCTGAGGGACAGGAGATTTGATTGCAGAAGGGTAAAAATGGAGGGAAGAATAAGAGTAGTGATAGGGGAAAGTTGGCACACAAACTGTGCAAAGGCTGTCCCAGCCACAGCCTTCACCTACTGTTCTAGCAGAACCTGTGATTCCAGAACCCCCAAATTGTGAGCCAATTCCATATGGGGAAGTATGACATACTCTAGAATTAAAGGTGAAATATTTCCAGATTCAATAGACCTTTGAATTACGATAATTTTGTCTTGCTAGGATTCATACTGAGCCTATTTTTCTCAACAAAGCCCTCATAGCTTCAAAGTACTAGGTCAGGACTTCCACTGCATCACACATTCAGTCAGAAGTGGAGATGTATAACTGAGTATCATCTGCATATTGATGATACTTCACCCATGCCAACTGATGATCTTTCCCAGCATTTACATGTAGAAATTGAATAGTAGGAGAGATTGACTCCTGCAGCACTCATATTGGAGCTCCTGCATAGTTGACTTCTGGGCCCTCACTATGGCCAATTGAATCCTGCCCCTCAGGAAGGTAAAGAACCATTATAAAATGGGGATTTCTGCTCTCAATCCTCAGAGCCATTCCAGAAAGAGACTGTGGTAGATGGGATCAGTAGTCATCTAGAGAACCAGGAGGGTCACACTCCTCCTAACTCAATCTTCCAACAGCATCTCCCTAGGTTTATATACATATAGTTTGTGTCCCATAACTGTAGTCACAGAATTCAATTTTATTTCCTTGTTCAAAAAGGAATATTCTTTTTACTGTGCCTATTTTTTTTTCTTTATGTATATATTGGTGCATTGCAGCTGCAATATATTTGAATTCCTTTGTATAAAGATTTTTTTTAATGTAAATTGGTCTAATAGTAAATAGTAGATGACTGTCAAAAATGCGAGACCCACAGAACTGTTAGGCTTAAGCAGGTTGCTCTAACACATTGTTCCTAACCTGTATTCCTAGTCTGTTATTGATAAGTTAAAGAGAATAATAATGCAACTAAATTTGAATTGCCAGTTTTTAATTGGAAACTAACAGCTTATTGCTTTTGTTTTCCAGAATCTTCATAGATTTACTCACATCCCATCAGGAAAATGCTTGGACCGTTCAGAGGTTCTACACCAAGTATTTATTTCAGATTGTGACTCAAATAAAGCGACACAAAAATGGGAAATGAACAATATCCTAAGTGTGTAGACAAAATAGCTGCATCTACCTACTGACAAATGTAATTTGTATAGAACTGAAAATAGCCTGAAAACTGCTGCAACTGTTAACTTGTATAGGTGGGAGCCTGGAATCTCCTGATCTGGATGAAGGACTTAGATGGACTGTGATAGATTTATCATCTGCAGTTAATGTTTACAAAAACTGCTCTTACCTTAAACGTCAATAGATGTTTACATCTCTTTGTTTTGTTTTAGGATTTTGTTTTAAGATGTTCTGGATTATCATTTAAAGTGCTTTGACTCTGTTTCACTGGAACAAAGTTAGAAGCATGGGCTTGGATCCAAAGTAGTGGGAGGTTGCTTCTACTTGGGCAAGAGGGCATTTCCTTTTCCTCTTATGGTGACAACCCTATCCCAAAGCCCTCCTTAAGAACTTTCTGTAAAATTTCTGAATGGTGTAAAGGGCTGGAAATCGGCAACTTCCCAGGTGTGTATAAGTGCCTTTCACTTGGGCACAAGCAAAAGAATTGGATCCAAGTATTTGTTGTCTTCTTTGGGATTACACTCAGGGGTTTGCAGGCAGTTTGTTGTTGTTGTTGTTGTTCCAACACTCACACTTGAAAAAGCTTGGAGTATAATGTGGTGATTATCAACTTGTTATATGTTGTTTTGATTTTACATTTTACCAAGCACTGCCACAGGTTTATAGCCAAGGTGGCCTTCTTTCACATTCATGCTGCTTTTTTGAAAAAGGAATCTTCGGTATATTTAGTGCCTCCTTAATTTTTCCTCCTTAGCTAACCAAAAAAAAATGGTTACAGCATGGGTATGTTGAAGTCTTTCCCTTTTTACTAGGAATAGGAAAAATTTGTAATGCCCTCATTATGTTTAAATAATGTTGCTAATTTTACTAGTATACTCTATATTCCTGATTAGTACATTAAATAATTCATGCATAAAGCATGCCAATAATGCTGTGTGATGGCCCAAAATAGTAATATTAAAACATCTTGAACATTTTAAATGATGAAATTGGTGAAAAGGGTAGCACTTAAATCCATGAACCATTTGGGTGAATAGCATTGAAACAGCAAGTCTTCTCTAATTTGATGTATCAAGTGGAAGTCAGCACGCTGAATTGCAACGAAAAAGATAAAAACGCTAATTTTCCTGCTATATTATGCCTTACATAACAAGATATGTCAGAAATGAAAAAATATCTACATCTGCATAATATAGAGTAGTAAAATTGATCAGTTCATAAAGTTGAATCCAGTTTCTCAACAATTTCTGAATTATTTTACAGGCAGTATTTGGTAAGAGATCTATGCATTTATAGTAGAATTGGGCAGTGGATTTTTGTTTTCTTTGGTACATAAGTGACTTCAAAATTTCATTTGTCCAAATAATGAATTTCAACTAATTAAGAGATGTTTTGAACAATGGGGTTTGCCATAGCATGAAGACAAAATCAAATATAGAAAATTAAATATATACAGCACATTAGGACTGTGCTGTGAGTTGGTTTCAGTTTCAAAAACGCACTTGGGAGAATTCAGGGATGTGAACATAATATCTGCTTCAGTTTTTTAAGGCAGGTGTCTCTTTTCCTGAGAACTCATAAGTGCTGTAGAGGGAAGCTGTACAATTCAAGAAACTGCTTTAGAGTTGCACACAGGTGCTATATTCACACTCCCGTGCTCCCTGAATCAGCTTTTCCAGATTATTTTGGAAGCACTGTACAGCCCTAATTTAAAAAGTAAAGAATATATATTTTTAAAAAATGTGTGATTAATAAAACAAAACACATTTGAGGGGAAAATGAAAAAAACTGTTCAAGTTAAATATTCAGTCTTAAAGAGTGATTTCAATAAGCTTACTATTATAATGTGGGTCTGGTGTGAAGTAGTGTACACCTGTATTCTACTGAAATTTATTATGCATAGAGTCAATGCCTTCAGTTTCATTTTAAATTTAAACTCTTAAATGGTTTAATTACAAAAATAATTTTAGTAGTGCAAGTCTTTGGCACTAATTTTATCTACCCCTAAAAGAGAGTGATGGAGATACATCATTTTAAAAGGATAAATGTTGACCTTAAGACCAGTTACATGTAAGTTAGTTTTAGGGTGATTTTATTTTTCAGGCATCTGTCTTTTGGGGACTCCATTAAAAAGTGTGAATAATTAACTTAGAAATAAAGGTGGAAGAAGCTGGGGAAAAGGTGATAAAATTTCTGGGTACATTTAGTATTTCTTTGAATGAAATTATTTCATTCTTTTTGGATATAGATTAATTTAATCATATTACTATGCATAAGTGAAAGAGATTGCACGTTGTGCAGGTGTGTATGTGCTAAATGGGTATTGTGTGCAATTCCATTTAAAATATTATATGTGAGAATGGATCTGTATTTTTAAACTTTAATCTTACAGCAACATAAGCCGTTACTCCTAATGACTTTTCCTACTGTAACCTGCTTTTTAAGAAGTAGATCCCATATCCTTGCTCTGTAAGTTGATCACTATGCATTTCTACTCATTTTATAAATTTGATTTATGCAGATTTTGATACACTGTATGTTTCTGTAAAGATTGTATAAATCTTCAAAAGTTTTACAAGGAGTAACTCTGGGGATTTTCTGTATATCTTCTGGGTTGCTTGTTTTTTAGGTGACGAAATAAATTTTAACGTGGGTTTGTAATATATTTGCATCAATAATTGATTTTTCCCTAGTCATGTTCATAATTCATCAAAATATTGTAAGAAAGTATATATTTTAATACATACATGGTAGAGGGATTAATGGATGGGTGGGTGGATGGTTGTGCTGCCTCCTCATGGTGGGTGGAAGTGGCATTCCTGGGAGGAACGAACAAAGAATGACAGGAGGGTATGCCAGAAGTATATATTCCCAGCAGGTGCACCCAAAATATTATCATCCCAGCTGCCCAGCTAAAGCAACCTGGCACTTATATTGGGTATAAGCAATATAGGAAGATGCCAGAAGGGATTATCACTTTGGTGATAGTGGCAAAGGCATCAGTTCATACTACATGAGAAGGCAATGATAAACCACTCCTGCATTTTTACCAAGAAAACCACGATTAGAAAATAACGATAGAGGTATGCATGAAGTGAAAAATGAATTTTGCCCTGGGCATAGAGATAAAACATTATGCCTATAAATTTGGCTGGGCCAATCCAGGTGGATTATGGTCTAGCTAATGCAAAATCCAAATAATTTAGATTGATCCAGGTTTCAACTGAGGCAAATTTGGAAGAGTTTTACAGGCAAATAGGACAGAGCTGGGACACTTCCTGCCACTTTCTTGTATGTGGGTTGTGCAGCACCCTGATCTTCCCAGGACCTCTTTGTCAGCCTTACCAGGTAGCCCAGACAGGAAACACAACCATAAGCTAATTCTACTTCATTGTAAAGGTACATTAACAGAATCTTGCAAGTCTGAAAGTACAGTTCTCCTGCCATCTCCTTTACAGCCCAAGAAACTAGGGAGGTTCCCTTCTGAGCCTCTTGCCCCGCTCACTGTCCAGCTGCGGGCTATGCTGTCTCTTATCTGACTGTTCACTAGGCAGCATCTCTTCTCATCTCCAAAGGTCTTAGTCACATATCATGACAAGAGCTTTCTCCTCCACATGGCATACCCATCCTATCTTCCCAGTACTTAGGGGACTCCAATCCACCCTACCTTTTCACCCCTACCATCCTGCATTCACTTTCCATACCTCTATATCACCATTGGCATTTTCCTTGCTATCCCCACCCTGGAACAACTTTGGCAGAACATCCATGCTCTAGATCCATGCACCAACAAAGCACACGTTTTGATTCATGCACAAGGCTTGCTGATATTACCGATCCATATGTGGAATATTTTGCATATCCCTAATACATGAATATTGAAGTAGAACTAAAATGTCCATTAACAGACATGGGTCAAATCTTATTCTGAAAGGTAATAAAACTTCATTGTACCAAGCCAACTTTTACATCAATTTGCCCTTGAAAATAAGTTGCTATTTGTGCTACTACCTGTACTATTATGTGTGTTGGTGGAAGATTCATATAACTTTCAAGTAAGTATTCACACCTGTTTTAAAAAAAGAGTAAGAAATTAAACAAGATATGTATGGTATTGCCAGTGTGATTTTGAGGGTTGCAGTGTGATAAGAGGGGAGTGTTGAAAACTTAGAATTGGATTTCCCAATCTAGCCATTCTGAAGATGACTCAAATGTTTTTGGATAGGAGTGGATCCATCCAAATGTTGATTTTATTTTGAGTGTTATACTACATATTTGTCTGTAAAAATAGCTAGGTTTTGATCAGAAAACAAAATATAACTCTTAATTTAATAACCATTATTTTCATTGGCAGACATAAAATATCAACAATGTATGGATATTTAGCATGTACATTCTCTTCTCAAAGTTGGAGTGTTTATGCTTAGAAACAGATATTTAATATCAGCATAGTTATGTACTGAATTCCTTGTTCGCCTATTTATCACAATTAAGGAAGTATATACTAAGCTGAATATGCAACCAGTTTATCCCCAAATGTGCAATAATCAATTAAATCCTATAATGACTGTTTCCTACTAATGTAAAGGCTGTAATTAAATCTAGAAATAGCGTATCAGGGTAAGGACAGAAAGCACTAAGAAAATCAAGGGAAAGCCTGTCAATAGAATATGCTGCCAGAGTTGCTGGCAAGACCATCGCAATAAGGAACCAGCACACGGGCCATGTAGCAGCAGCAAAGGTAGCACCACAGAAATGCCTAACCTTACCCTACTTGCTCATTCAGGGATTTCTCCAGGTTTTACTTTGGTCAAAACTCAAAAGCATTTTGGGTCTTGGTTCTGCTGAAATGTAGCCACATTAAAATGGTTCAGCAGAATTACTGGAATTTGAAAGGGAAGCTGCAAATTGGGAAAATTGAAAATAGCTATATTTTGTTTGTGGAAATAGGAACAATTTATTTGGACTTGCACATTCTATCAACATGAAATGCTGAGGTTCCCTTAAGCAAGTTCTAGAATAGAATTCAGCTGTTCTGGTTGTAGTTGTTTCAAATACAGGAGTATGAGGAACTTCTTAGATACTTTCCCTATGGTTTACTTTTTCCTTTTCATAGTAGTTGTATAAGGTAAAGTCACCTAGTAAACCAATCTATTTGCATACATTTATCCATAATTTCTTTTTTGTCAATGTTCTCTATATCACAAAAATCTTTGTATTCTAATCAGTGCTAGAAAGAGCTGCGGAATGCTAGGTTTTACATGTAAGGAATCAAAATTATGGCTAGTAGGCCTTAGTCTAGTCAAAAAAAGCCAGTCTGCCTAAGATCTGTGTTGCATTTAAACAAGCTGCAGAATTTAGTTTTAAGAATGCCATTGCTGAATCTGACAAAAACTGATTTTAGATATTAACATGACAAATTGGAGCTTTAACTTTTACTATCACATTTTATCATGTGTAAATCATGAGAATAAATTTATGTTGTGTTTATTTCTAACTAATCCTTCATTATATAGAGCACCTTCTGTTTTCTGTTTCTGGTTACCATACAGCTTGTGCCTGTACAGAGCTTCGTTAAGAACTGAGCTCTTCAGCAGAAAACCTACTCCCTGCCAGAACATCCATGACATGTTAAGCCAAATCTGATACTATGAACTACTTCCCAATTTATGGCATGCCAGACCATGCAACAGTCATTGTTCACTGTCTGTGTTCATTCTCTCTCTTCCTTTTTCTCATTCATCCCAGCACCTTTTCTATACCTGGTCAACCAATGCTTTCTAGATTTTGCATCCTCCCTCCCCTAATTTTTCTCCCCCTATGAGAAAAAAGAAGTGGATTGTGATTGTAGACTATCAAGCTCTTGGGCCTGATAAAGCAAGTTTACACTCCCTTCTGTGGCTTAATTTCACTCATTTATGGGGGAGGAGGGGGCAAGAAGGCTGAAGATGAGCAGAGGAGAGTGCAGCTGGGGTGCCATTTTGCCTATAGAGGTTAGATGGGAGGAGTTAATTATACACACACACACAGGTTTCAAACTAAGGTTTCAGCAAGCAAACTTACTATATCCAGTAACACAATTTTATCTGTGGTCCAGATTCAGACATAATACACAAACTACATGATAGCTTCTTAAAACTCTATGAATTGGGAATGAGGACATTGACTAGTGCTACAGCAGTAGCTGGGAGTATTCTTTTTCATTACTGTGGGTCAGGGAACTACACGCACTTCAGTTACATACTTTTACAGTCTTAACATAAACATACCGTTACAAACACTATTGTAAACTGGTGTTTCTATAAACCCAGATATTTTATATATTTATCTTTATTACATTTACCTCCCACATCAAACATATACCCCAAGATCTAAAATAAGCAGCCACATCATACTCTGCATAAGTTTAGACACAATTTAAAATGTGTTTATAACTATGAAGATCATTAAAAACCTAAGACGCATAGTCACTCTACTCACACAGGAGGTGGCAAAGTACCAACAAAATGGTTATGAAAAAGCAAACACAAACAAGGATTGTAAATTGCCTTGCTACTGAAAGAAAGCACAATGTGCTTTCATTAAAAAAATAAATTCTGAAAGATTTAAGGTAGATAATAGGACATTTGGAATTGAGCATCAGAAGACACACTTTGAACTTGAATTATGTACAAATGATGAACATGTAATTGCTAAAACTTAGAAACATTTATTGAAATTTGAAATTTAAAACAAATGAAAGACCGTATGATAAAATGGGCTAAGAACTTTGGATACAACATACTGATGTAACAGTGGGAAAATACATGTTTAAAAGGATTTATATTTACATTATGCATAACTTAAGAGAATTTTTATAAAATGCACTGTTGGTATGACTCCAGAAAAATTGTCTGGAATGTTTAAAGGTACTTCAAATTTATGTTAGAAATGTGGACAATATGAAGGGTCTTTTTATCATGCCTGATGGACTTGTAAAAAAGCCAAAAATTTCTGGGTTCAAATACAGTAATCCCTAGGTTGTTAAAGCCTGATTTAAGGACAACCCATAGTTAAGAACAGAGCCTGCTATAGCAAAATTTGAGTTAAATACACAATAATTCTAGTTAAATACACAATGGTTCGAGTTCATTACACAATGTTATTGTTCCGGCTTACATACAAATTCAACTTAAGGATGGACCTTGGGAATGGAACTTGTTCTTAAACTGGGGACTACCTGTATAATGATACAAAGAATTTTAAAGATCAACATTCAACTGAAACCAGAATTTTTCTTGCTGGGATTAATGGACAGCCAATTAGAAAAGATCCAGAGATTTTTATATCTCATTACTGCTGTGAGAACATTATATGCGCAAAAATGGAAAGACTCTGAAATACCCACAACAGAGGAATGACTGAAGATGACAAAATAAGCAGAGATGGCAAAATTAACCTGTTTGATTAGAGAAAGTTCAACAATTACATTTATTATTAACTGGAAACCCCTTATGGACTTTTTGCTGAAAAAGAGAAAAATGAATTTATATGGATTTGGATTAAAGAGCAGTTTACAGAATGAAGGAAATTATGATGTAACCCTAGAGAGGGCAAAGTAAAAATGTATCTAAAACCACTGTCAAGATCAGAAACCACTTCTTTATAATCTTTTTTCTTTCCTTTTCTTTTTTCACTATTTACTATTCTTTATTATCGCTTACGGTTTTTATTTTGTTAAAAATTTAATAAAAATTATATTTAAAAAAAATTCTGACATTTGGTTGAAGATAAATCCTGATTTTAATACATTCTTGAATTCACTGAAACTGAGTTAGAAATACAGTAATAAGACAGTAGTTGTTTGCATGACACAATAAAAATGATTTACTCAATCCTTCTGACTATGCAAATCATTTACTATCAAAACAGACTGAATTTGTACAACATGCAAAACTAAAGTGTAGTTAGCTCAATATACTGTATGAACAGCTTATTAAGAGAATAAAAGTACAACCAACATAAGGCTGAGTTTAGCTTACATATTTTAAACCACTGGAAATCCAGTTCTCAAATACAATCATCTCTTTTCTGTTAGGTTAGCAAATTCAAGCTAAACTATTCCAGAGCTAGCCTCAAGAAAGCATATAAAGATTATCTCTTTTAGTTGTTCTCCCTGTACTTCTTTAATGGTACTTGATCATTAGACAGAAAATGCATATTGTGCAATCAGGACAGAGAAGAAAAAAAATAACCCATCTAGTCTATCGTATCAAAGTTGGACACCAGTATTAGTATGCTAGCAGAAAAAAATCACACTTCAGTAAAGGAGGCAATTATTTTCTAATTTGGAATCAAAATTACCTGAAAACCCAAACATTTACTGATACTTTCAGAATGCCAGTTTCTGAAACTTACTGGTTTCCTACTGTTCTAGGCTAGGCCCAAGACAAGAGTTTTTAGATTATTAGCACCCTCTTTAAAGCCATTCATAAAAGAAAATGTATTACAGAAATAATGAAGCAATCAATGCACACCTTAGCTTAGCTTAGATTTTGATTTCCAGGGAGTGTATCATCACCAACTAGAATTTTCATAAATTATTTATGCAGCTCCTGTATGACAGCTTACATCTTACAGTAATTACTACATATGCTATAGGAAGTTCTCATACTTGTCATGCATTCCCACTTGCATAAAAATGCAACAAGTTGATCTTAAGTGACCAATTAACAATTTCACAATCCTGAATTTAGCGGTTATTCTTTTTCTCCACAAAGTAGACATTACTCTATCAGAGCAAAATGCATTTTTAAAATGTTGCAGGCGTCTTGGAGAATAGTGGACACCTGAGGAATTTCAGTGGATTCAATACATTCATTCTAAAGCTGTATCTGTTACGCTGAAAGAAAATGGCATATAAGTTCTTGATATGACTTTATGGCTGTAACAAATTCTAATGGAGGATGGAGAACTCCATCCACACTATGTGGCAGCTAGAAAGACTGCCAGCCGCTCTTTAACTTTTACCTCGATGCTAATTCTATATTTAGAACTAAACAGCATCTAGTCTCCCAATAAGCCAGATTTCCACTGAAGCTGAATTTATAATTTTTAATGAAAGTGGTACATTGCAGAATTTGGTGTCTTCCAACCTTTGGCCTACACTTACTCCATTTTTCAGGTCAAAGGTTGCAGTATATTACTAGCCAAAAATGTACAATATACACGAAGTATATAAATTCAAAGAGTACCTGTAACTTTGTCCTGGCCAAGTGGCAAAACAAAAGGTATTTTACACTGCAAATATTTTCATGATATAGACATTGTTAATTTAGAAATTATTTTAACTGAGTCAATTAACACTATAGTAACAATAATGTACATCATTTTATTACAAAATTGTTAAAAATACAAGGCAATATATCCAAGACAAGGTTGACTATATTACTACTGTTTACTTTGCTCAAGATTAAGCAGTCACAGAATTTCGAAGAACCATTAAATATACCAGAACACGTGACAATATCAGCTTTTAAGAAAAATCTAACAGAGGCATTTTGCTACTACTAACATTAGAATACAGGTCCCTCTGCAGAGAATCACTTTATCTATACACAATTCTGTACATTTTTTTATACTGAAGCTAACATTGAGTTGCACTCGACTTCACATTCTCAGAAAACTCACGGATTTTTGAGCACAAAATCTTTACAGCAGGTTTTAACATTATTCTTCCTCCTCCTCCTCCTCCTCCTCCTCCGGTTCTACCTTTCTCTTGGAGCCTGCTGGCCTTCCTGGACCCTTCTTCCCCAAATTGCCCTTTGCACGATATGCTGCAATATCCTAGAACAGCAATCCAAAGTTTGTATATATGCTTAGTTTTATGACTTATTAAGATTCTATTTTAAAAGTGCAAAACCAGAAGCTAATCTTCCTTCCATTACACATCAGGTAAAAAAATGCAAGAGTGTAAAACCAGACTAATTTTTGGGTTTTGCTGTGCTTTATAAAACTGAACCCAATTTCTCAGCAAAAGTGGTATTAAAAAAAATCCAGACAGATAATCAGTAGCAGCAGTATCTTATTAACAATTTTAATATTAGCAATTAATAACTTTGTTATTACAATAAATAAAAAATCAGATCCTTCCTACATGCTATACCCGTAACACCCCATTTTACAATACCTTTTCGTATTTCTCCTTTAGTTTTGCTGCCTTCTGTTCAAAGGGTAGTTTGTCTTTCGCTGTTTGCTCCGACCACATTTCACCTAATTTTTTTGCTGTATCCCCGATAGACAAACCTGGATTATCACTTTTTATCTTTGGACGATGTTCAGAACAAAATAAAAAGAAAGCTGATCTATAAAAAAAAAGTTCATAAATAATTCATCCACACAACGCTACCTGCCCACAATAATATCCAAAAAACATTTGTCTGGTTTTACAGGTTGATGATTTATTTAGTTATCAATTTAAAATTGGATTATCTGCAGAACATCAAGTATTGTTATGACTAAGGACCATCAACTTACGGTGGCCTTTTGGGAGCATTTGGATCCTTTTTCTCTTTCTCTTTAGAAGGAATATAGTCTTTCATCTCTCTTTCAAAGCGAATTTTGTCACCTTTCGCCATTTCTTCAAATTTGGATTTTTCTTTGTCAGACATAGACTATGGGAGTAAAATGTAGCATTTTAGAAGGTGAGATTATACTGGCAGCACTATCATACAGCCTATCCTTAAGGTACCTTTTCTTACCTCATTAATTCAGTGTTCTGTATCACAACGGCCCAGTAGATACCTCCTATACAATCAGAACACAGAAAGAGACCTTTTCTCCTCTTGTCTCAAGGCAAAGAACTAATATTCCAGTTATGTTGGATTTGATTCAGAGGGGACAATGGCTATAGGCATTGGGGGATGCCTATAGGGGGATATCGGCATCAAAATAAGTTGTCAATGATAATCTCATATTTCACAAACTGCTCTAGTTCCCTTTAAAAACGTCCTGAAAAAGTACTGACTTCAACTTGAAATACAGTGTTCTGTACCACTCTACTCAGATAGCCAGTGCAGCGCAGCTTTTAAACAGTTCTAGTCTCGCCTTACCCAGTGAAAATCACCGAGCAACTTACAGAGACTTTTGAGAGACAGTCACTCTAGCTCAAGCTACCACATAGGGCTGTTGTGAGGGAAAAATAGGAGGGAGGACTATGTATCTCGCCCTGAGCTCCTAAATGAAAGCTTGGTATATATATAATAAAATTTAATAATAAACACAAGCCTCCATGTTACCCCTTCTTACTAAAAACATAACTGTAGTGAACTTGCCAATCTTTAAATCAATTGTTCACAAAAATACAACTTACTTTCTTAGCAGCCATAAGAATGAAGAGAAACTTACAAGTAGGAGAGTCAAAAAAGATTCATCAATGTTTTGCAATTGCACAAAGCCAAGGCCAGAATCACAACTAGCCAGAACTTTCTCAAAATATACTCAAATTCCCTTTAGTAGGAAATGTACAGGAGGCATAAGGAAACAGATTTCCCACTTTTTTGTTAGTGATTTTAATTTCTTCTAAAGTGTTCTAGGATTCTCTGAAGATGGGATTTCAAAAGCTCCCCTGCAATTTTAAGTAGTACTGTGTAAGAACCTACACATTACTATGTCAGACGGAAAATATCAGTGCAGCTTAATAGATTTTGTGAACATGCAATTTAGAAGGTTATCTTTCACTATGGGTTTTGTAATTACTCTTAATTTTTGACATTCAAGATAGAAACGCAAGAGTAAATATGCAACAAAAGTCATTTTCAAACCAAGGTTTCAAATACCGTGCTTACATTCTACAGCACAGTCACTTAATGTACTGCCTCAGAGTTTTAAGGGCACATTCCCAGATAATTTGCAGCATTTCTTCATGTTTCCAGACCTTACCAGGAAGCACGATTTTTTTTAACATGTCTAAACTCATATGCTTGGAAGAGAGCGTTACTTCGGCTTTACTCCACCGTTTGGAGCCGACGCTTAAATCCGAAGAGCCGAAAGCCCCGGGGGGTGAAAAATCCAAGCCAACTTCGTAACAGGCGAACGCCCAGGCCGACAAGGGCGGCAGCGATTCCCTTCCACGCACGTGGGCGGGCGCTCGGAGGTGCACTGCGCGCGCCGACTAGCCGCGAGGGGGGCCGGGGGCGGGGCTCCGTCAAGCGAGGCGGAGTCGCTTCTTACCCGCCATCGCCCCGAGCATTCCTTGGAAAACTCGCCGAAGTTGACCGAGGAGTCTGGATGCTGCTGCTTATGTTCTTCACGGCATGTTTGCACGAAATACGCGTACGAGGACATTTTGCCCCGAGGCTTGTTGGGGTCGCCTTTACCCATGTCTACGGTAAGGGTGCCTGAGGAGGGAAGGAGGGAGGGGGTGAGAAAAGGAGTAGTAACCAAGAACAGTTAGCCGCCGCTTTTAAAACGGCTGTGGTCAGGCCCTCCATCCAGACCCCGTGAATCCGTAGCAGGAGCATTTCCCGCTCTTCTTCCCGGAATAAAGTGGGTTTTGCGCTTCCCAGTTCGTCCCGGTGCTGGCTACGTCCGTATACACCGTACAAAATTTCTCTTTCACTTACAAAGAAATGAAAACTTGGGCCCTCATCGGCCCGCCAGTCCACCAGCCCTCTTCAACCGCGCCCCAGCGTCTCCCACCCCGTTTCTCCAGGGCAAACCCACGTGCATGCTACTTAACCCCCTGCCTGGTGGCGATGAGTAAAAAAAAAAAAGAGGCAGCAGCTGTTGGCACCGTTCGAGCCTCAAGTAAACGCGTCCGTCCTTGATTCCGCAGAGCCGGGTCCGGTCCGCTCCAGCGCTCTTGATAGCCTCTTGTTTTCCACAGCCCTGCCCGCCACCGCTACTTGACCCGCACAGCGCCTGGAAAGGCCCGCCCCCGAAGCCTTCTGGTTGGTGGCTAGATAGATTTGAACCTGGAAGAGCCACGCCCCCATAACTTTAGGGCTCCGCGACTGGCTAAGAGTTCAAGAGACGTGCCCAACAGCTTGCCTTTCGGTCGAGAAGGAGCATTGGATTGCCTGCGCTTCATTCCCGTTGAAACCGGTTGGAGAGTGGGATTAAAGCTCGGGTCGGGAAGGATAGTGGATATGTTTGGGGGGGGCTTCGGAGACAATTGTCATTGGACAAAGGAAAACCCCGGCTGCTGCCATTGGTCCGCGGGAAGCGAAATAGTGTGGTTTAAAAATACAAAGGAGGGGGAAGGGAAAATATCGGTGCTGAGAGGACGCGATGGATGTGGGTGATAAGAGTTTTGCGGCGTTTGGGCGACAATGCAGCCAAATACTCCGAGCAAGGCTTTTCCTGACTGATTTACTGTTGGGCTTAAAGGCTGTTGAATCATCCGGTATCAGCTTGGAGGGTGGGTTGTATAATTTTTCCCAGCGCTGTTTAAAATTGTTTTTAATCCCTTTAGAATTTATTGCTAAATAGGTGTGTGCAGGACTGCGGTTCACTAGGGCAATCTGAAGCATGCTGACTTAGAAGTCAGAATCACTGTATTTAATGAAGTTTCTTTGGGCCTTTTTCGAAATCCTAATCTGGTCAGATTATTTGTTGGGAAAGAACAGTATCGGTTCTTTCTGGTTTATGCGGTAGAAACAGTTCCGTTCTACCTGGTCACACAAGGAGGAGGAGTGTCTTGTTTTGCAACCATGGACTTAGCACTACTGTAAACCTCTGAGAATCTGTTTGGTTAATTCTTTGTGTATCTCTCCTAGCTAGGCTCTAGATGGAGAATGCTTTAAAACAGAATTTTTCAGTTTACTTTTGCCACCTGTTACTACTTCTTGGTTGTCAGTCCTCCCTGAGCCAGGCCCTGCAAGTTGACTAACCAGCTGCCTCTCACAGTAAAAAGTTGCTGTTTTACTTAGGTTATTTGAAAGCTGCTGAGTAGTCAGTTGCTCTTCTGAAGGAGTACTGGAAGTGAAGTGGTGGAACAGGCCCTACTACAGTTCCCCCAATAAGGATCCAGAGATTAGTGTAACTGGTCTCCTAAATATAAGGTATTTATTCTTGGACAGATGAGTTGACTCCTAATTATAGGCCATCTCTGGATACAAAAACTTCAATCCGAATTATTAATCTTATCTAATCTAACAGTTATGGGGAGGATAGGAAGAGGGAGCATCACACAAGTAAGGTGTGATATAAACCTAGTAGTAAGTACCCAGCTTCATTAGGCATTGGCTCTTCCCTTTACTTGTCAACTGGCACAATTCCCTTAGGAGAAATAGAAATGGGAAACAGCTACAGGATTGGTACAGTTGGAAGTTTAGCAATGGTAGCTGTTTTAAGATAGTGTTCAATTAACATCAGAGAGATGACTTTTCAAGAAAACCTTGCAAAATACAGAGTGTTCTATGTAGCATCACATGGAAATTTGGCAAAGTATAGAAACAAAGGTGTTACTACCTTCTTTGGGTTTGTTTGTTTGTTTGACATTTTGGTCTAGGGCTTGAGATTCTGAATGGTTTCCATCCAAAATATTAAACCTGGCCTGTTTATGCTTAGGATCAGCCAAGGTCAGCTAAACCATGGTGTTGTGTACTGCAATGTTTTAAAAAGCCAAAAAAAAAATTATAGCAGGTGAAAACTTGTCTTGCCAGTCAATGATTGATTAAAGATAAGAATGTTTTCTATCCTGAGAAAAGGGGGCAAAGTGATTAAAGATGATGTTATAAATGGAGTAGTAACTTGTAAAGGCTTTGCTTTAGAATCCAGTTGGATTGAGGTAACAAATACATTTTCAATTTACAGTTTTCCATTATACTTTATTTACATTCTTAGTGGAATATAATCTATTTTCATCACATAAAAATTCAGAAAATTATGTTATTACTACACAATATTCATTTTAAAATGGAGTTGAGATCTGGGAAATTACAGTATTAATAAGTTTGCCAACATCACAGAATTAATAATAGGAACTGGATTGAAATCAATTGAATTATTAAGTAGAATTGGTGAGATGTACAAGATGGTTTTCTATTCTTTCTATATGAAATGTAATAAAATGTACATGAAATTAGACAATTGTGCTTTTTTTCATTTTGTTCATATGTACATATTATAAACAAATCTTGAAAATATGATTTTCCACTTAGGTTTAATTCATCTAAAGTTTGCCTAGATTTAAATGATAGCCTGTCATACTTTATATCAGATTAACCATTTGCTATAGATGTATGGTACTATGACATAAGTATTCTGCTGTCATGTTAATGAGTGCAACCCTTGGAATAAGCCCAATATTAGAGTATTGCTGAGTTAACATGCATAGGGTACTTTTAATCAAGTATGTTTTATTTATCAAATTGCATTTCTTTTGAGACATTTAAACAGTTTAAAACAAAGATTTTTTAAAAATATATAAAAATAAATACATGCTGCAATAATATAAATTAATGTGCACTAATTTCAACTACTGTCTTTTAAAGTGTTTTGCTTAATGAAACAAATCATAAATTGTATTATGCTGCTTAGGTTCTTCATGGCCAGATTTAAAATTTACATTTAATGGACATTTTTACGGGAAATGGGAAACAATGTTATAGTTTATATAGAAAAAGTATGAAATTCCTTTTTTGTTTAAGAATCCCTCAGCTTTAATTTAATGAATTCAGCAACCTAGAAAGTAATTAAAGAAACAGGATTGTCTTTTATGTGTAGCAGTCAGTTTAAGCCAGATTATTTCTTAAAAGAAAGAATATTTTTCTGTCTATATTTTGGCTTCCTTCACTGCACATTTGAAGGATAGCTAAAAGCAAAAAATAACCAATTAGTAAACTATTCAGTAAGACAGTGAGTTTTTGAAAGCAATTCTATACTACAGTTTATAGGAGAAAAGTTTTATATAGGAAGTATACAACTAACCTAAAATCCTATTTTAGGACCATATCATATACCAAGCATAATTTTAATATTTAAGTTTAAGCAACACTGGTTTCCAGATGGCTAGCTGTGTTAATCTGATATGGAAAAAATAGTGATAGAGGTCTGCATGACCCTTCTGATTTTATGATTCTAAGTCCAGCCACCATTTACTGTAAGAGTCCATATTAAACCATCTCAGATTGCTGGCTAGCATCCATTTGAGCACATCTAATGAGGGGATCCCAGCTCCATTTGGATAATTGTTTCCACTGTCAATCAGAATCTGATGTCTTGAACATTATTCTGTGTCCTACACTGGAACAAGAAAACAAAATATGACCTGTGCAATTTGAATCCTATTACAGTCCTTATTTAGGTTAAACAAAGTTAAATACTCCTGTATCCTTCAATATCAATTCATAGGATTTTATTTCCCCTGATCATATTCATTGCTGTTTTCTGACCCTGTTGCATTTTCTGTGGATCTATATTAAAGCATGATGCTCAGAAATGGACATTGTACTTTGAGGGGGAGATTGACCAAAGCAAAATAAAATGGAACAAGTACTTCCTGTGGTCTGGCAATTATACTACTTTTGCAGTAGTATCACACTACTGGCTTATATTCAGTTTGCAACATTTTATATCTGAAAATCGTTTTTCTTACCATCCTATACCCTTGCATCAGATTTCTGTTTCCTAAGGGAAGAATTCTACACTTTTCTATATTAAATTTTGTTACTTTCAGGCGATATCTATAACCTATCAAAATCACTTTGAATTTGATTTCTGCCTTTGAAGATATTAGCTATCCCAACTAATTTGGAGTCATTTGCACATTTGACAAGCATTGCTTCTGCCGCTTCATCCAAGTCACTAATAAAAATATCAAAGGTTACAGGAACCAGGAATAGTCCTTCTGGCATGCCACTTAATACTACTCTTCAATGTGTTGAAGTATCAATGAGAATTCTTTGAATATGATTTTTCAAGTCAACAATGTAATCTCTTAAGCAGCATGCCATCCAGCTCACGCTAAACTAGCTTGATAATCAACATGTCATGAGATACTTTGTTAAATGTTTTGTTGAGCTCAGTATATGTCTCTAGGATTCCTATAGTCTATTAAAGAAGCTACCCAATAGGAAAAAAAATGAGGTGCTAAATTTGTTATTGAAAAATCCATGCTGACTTATGGTAAATAGAAAATTATTTCAAGGAGCTAACAGGATGATCTCTATGATTTGTTCTAGGGAATTCCCATGTATCAGTGTAGATTGATTCTTGTAGTTTGCTAGATCTTCCACCCCTCCTTTCAGAATAGGGACAACATTCTAAAGTTGTAAAAACTGCATAAATTCCAAAAGCACACAAATACTGTAGTCTGAA